TTTTTTTTTTTTTTTTTTTTTTTTTTTGCTGATTTGGTGAAATCTGCTTTGTGAACTGAATTTCAAATTCAATCTCTGCTGCCGTTTTGATTTGTGCCTTTTCCGTTTCAGGTTTGGTATCTGATGCGGTTCACCTGACTTTTGGATGTGGTTTGCTTACATTTTCGTTATTTGTTATGGCTGCGTCTAGGAAGAAAGCCGATCGAGAGTATACTTATGGGTGAGAGATTTGTTTATTTATTTATTACCGGTGCTTGTTAACAATGCTGCGTTTGTTGGTTTCTAGTTTCTACTTGGTCACTCTAACTAAATTTTTATGCCTAAAGGAAGTAGGACTGTAGAAGAGATGGTTGCTTGGATAATTTTTCTGGAAATAACCGTATAATTTTTTATTTAATTATTAATAACCAGTGGGGTATAGTTGTCTCGAAATAGTGGAAACCAAAATAGGGGATATCCCCTTGATATATTGTTATTGATTATAGATTATAATAATTAGTTTTGGAAACTTTTCCTGTACAGTCATGTCATATAACAAATTCGGGAATTCATAAGGTATGAATAAATATGTATGACAATTGACAAAGTTGTGTATCAAATTGTAGAAAACATGACTGTTTTTCCCACTTGCTTAAGATTACTTGTTAGTTGTTAGTTCTTTAACAGCTGGCATTGCTAAATTTGGTAAGTTGAAGAGCCTACCTTTTGCTCATGTGTCCCTTTTCTAACTTTTGTGCATGTAGATATTGTCCCAAGTTTTGTATCGAGGGCTAGTTCTCAATTCTCATGTAAAATTAAGGGATGGAGTTATGAACTCTTATTAAACAGGGAAAATATGAATTTATTAAATGAGCATTTGGCTAAACTGTCCTCTGTATGAAGTTTTTACATGACTTAACAAACATCCAGGTGTCCATATGTACCTGGCTACTGGCATGCATCTCATGTACTATAAAATTACTTTTTTTCTGTATGTCAACATGTCATTTTTGCGTTTTGTATTGAAGATTTAAGAATATGAATATGTCCAACAATTAATACTAGATGCAAACATGGCTAAACTTGTACCTTGTCCTTGTGTATGTGTGTGTGTTGACTACTAAAGGTATTTTTCGAACTACTTTTTACTTTTTGATAAATCATTTCAACCCTGTCTGTGCTTTTGACCGTGATTAAATTTCAGGTATAAAAGGCTAGAAGTTTTGTCTGCATTTACGAATGCCGTAAGTATTCATTTCCTTTACTACATCTGTCGTTACTGTATATCTGGGTGAATTGGTGGCCTGATGCTGTTACTAAAATGATGCTTCTATAAATATAATAAAACTAGTAACCATGTAAAAGTAAGCTGTGGAGATTACCAATGTTGATCTCAAATCATATCTGATTCTTCTGTGAGGTTTAATAACCTTGACAAGTTGACATGCAATTTTTATCCCTTTCATAAATATCTATAAAATAGAATTTTTATATTGATGTTGGGGCTGTTGTTAAAGGATTTATCTTGTATAATGCTGAATGATATTGCACAGTAAATGGTAAAAGAATTTCATAATTGACACGTTTTACTGAATTGAGTTGCTGAAAGCTTTTTTTATACCTAGGCAATGCAGTTTGTTTACGAAGGGATAATAAATGGCATTCTGGTTTGAATTTTACAATGCTGTCTTTAAATGATAACTTGTATGGGATTAAAAGAATTTTGTGTGAAGTGTTTTAATTAACTGTGGAAAACTTATTTCATTCTTTCTCTCCTGTCAGTATATCACATCATATGCACTAACATATTGAATTTTCTTCTTCTGCTGCTTGTGTAGACAGCTGTTTCTTTTGTTTATGTCATTCTCCCTAGCAGTTGAGGCGCTTCATGCATTCATACAAGATGAATCAGAACACAAGTAAGTTTGTATGCACAATGATTGTCAGTATTTATTACTTTTAAATAAATATTTTACATAACCAGCAACCAAATAATTGACCCAGTGTTGTTTTTCCCATAAGAATTGAAGTTTCGTAAGTCTTATTTTTGTGGTTGAGCTCAGTTCCATTTGATGCTTGCAAAGGTGATTTATATTGGTGTATGCAGTGATATGTTACTATCTGTATGAAGCATTCACATATAACACTCTTTGAGCCCTCTGATATTTGATCCAGATCATCTTAAATCATATCTTCTGGATATCATTATTGATGTGATCTTTTGTTCCATTTTTTTCCTGCACTATTTACGGTTGAACTTTATCTATTTTGCTTTTACCAGATTGTTTGTTAATCCATATGTGATTTCTTTCCTCTTCAGTCAGTATGTTTATTGTTCAAACTTAAAACTAAATGATACTATTGACAAATGAAGGAAATAACAATTCCCATCCATGTTAGGCCAGTTGTGGGGTATTTTTGCTGTTTAACAGTATTTATAACCTAATGATAGATGGTGAAATATAAGTAGCAACTTAAGTACTTAACCCAGACATACCCTTGGTTCCTTGGCATTGTACCCAATAGAAAGAGATGAATTACTGGCTTATGGCTAGCGGGACTTGAAACTATTTTCTTTGATCAATGTCTTATTTTGATGGCCTATCATGTCAGTTGTGTAGAATTTGTCAGTTGTGTAGAGCTTGTCAAACTTGACCAAATAGTCACCTACTTAAGACCAAGTTAAATAACCCTTGTCTAATAAACATAAAGAAAACTTAAATGACAACAATTTCTTTTGGGAATGCCCACAAAAACTAATGTCCATGAAAAGACAATTATAAATAGCTAAAAATTACAACTATAGTGATCTTTAGATCTGTCAATCTTCCGAATTATGACTTCTAGATTTTGCTGCTGCCTTCACTACATAATACATATATGTAAATTGTGTTTCTTTTGGTATGGGGAGGGGGTTATTTGTCTTAAGTGTGACTGTTTTTCATGCTAACAATTTTCTTTTTCATTTGTTTTTCTTTCTAATTTTTATTTATGCTGACTATGTTCTTGTAGGCATTACTTGATTGTCTCTGCAGTGACCAATTTATTTGTGAATCTCATTGGTGTATGGTTCTTCAGAAACTATGCCCGGATTAATCTTGGTTAGTATTTATTTTGATGTTTTTAGATTAACTTGATTAAATCTTTTCTCTGTTTTGAATGGTACATTCATGAATTGGTATTTCCCTTTGAGCGTTGACCTATAATAAATTAATAATCATTCAATGTTTCTTCTTGAATTTCTTGCAGCTTACAGAAACGCAGAAGATATGAATCACCACTCTGTTTTCCTACATGTTCTTGCAGATTCCATTCGCAGGTAGATATGCTTGGATTTATGTATGTTGTGCATTTGTGATAGTAACACCCTATAAATGCTAATGCATTTCCTTTCCTCTGTACAAAATAATATCAAGCTCATATACTTCAATGGTTTCTCAGTGCAGGTCTGATATTGGCATCCTGGTTATTGTCAATTGGGTAAATGTCATCTTTTTCTGTCTAATAATCTAGAGGGAGATAAAAAATAAAAGTATAAGGAAAAAACAATTGACCATTTCCTAACCTTATTACTTCAGATATTTTAGTTCGACTTATTTATGTTTCCTTCATTATAGGGTTCAGAATGCAGAAGTCTTGTGTTTAGGACTTGTTTCCGTTGCAGTTTTTATGCTTGTTCTGCCTCTCTTTAGGGCATCTGGTGGTATTTTGCTCCAAATGGCACCTCCTAGCATCCCAACTACTGCTTTTAACAAATGCTTAAGACAGGTTATTACTTTTTCTTGGGCAAAAATGTGTTTTGCTTCATGTGACTTGGGGATACTAATGCTTACTTTGAAATTCGTTTGGAACTAACACTTCATGCAAAAGGATTAACTGTATATTGGGTTTGCTTGTTTAAACTTTTTTCTTATAAAAATGTTTTTTTTTATAAATAAAATAAGCAATTTTCTATTTTTTTAATGTGTTTGCCCAAACTATTTTTTTTAAAAAAAGCACTTTCTAAAACCCTTTTTTTTTTTTTTTTTTTTTTTTTTTAAGTTTAAACAAATGGAGCCATTATCGAATGAGTTGTAAATGAAAAGCACTTTTTTCGTTCAATTTCTGTTTGTTTCAAATTGACTAAAAGTAAAAACGTGATGCTGCTGTCAAATTTCTAGATAATGCGGATGTTCTACAAATATTATATTGAAGCTGTTCCTAGATTCTAATATTCACGTTTCTGTGTTATAAAATTGTTGACAAAGCTACATTACGCCCTTACCAGTGACCACTTGAATATACACTTGTTTGGAACTCCTAAATAGAGGATATTTTAGTTTCAACTTTCAAATATTTTTTTTTCAAGTGGTGTTTTTATCACAGATCCAATCTTGGGGCTGGGAATAATAAGTGCATTTTGCTGGCTTTAGTCTATGTTATTTAAATTTAGCATATTTAAATTTTAATTTGACACTCCTGTTGATACGTCAATTTATCAGTGATTCATTTCGACTTATCTTATATTCCGTTCAGATTTCTGCTCTGGAAGATGTAGTGGAAGTCTCCCAGGCTCGCTTTTGGGAATTAGTGCCTGGTCATGTGGTTGGTTCACTTACATTACAGGTAATTTATTATTTGTTCTCCTTTTCTTTGCACTTCCGTTGTTAACTAGGGAACAAAATACTTACTCGATTAGTTATCTGTTATTAGGATATAATATGTCTGGATTCACATCCTTCTATCAAGTAGTCTTGTTCAAGTGAAATGTTGTTTATCTACTGTAGAGAGACCTGAATTTCGTTTTCAAATTTTGATTTAGTGTGGCATGTTTCATTTTCTTCTTATTTACGAACTACAATATATATGCTGACTTAGCGGGTCATGCTGGCAGGTAAAGAAAGGGACGAACGATCGCCCAATACTAGAATTTGTGCATGGTCTATACCATGATTTGGGTGTACAGGACCTTACAGTGCAGACTGATGAAGCATGAGACTTTCTCAACAGTTTTAGTTTTATGCTAGTAGTTATTACTAAGGTTTGTATACGCATTAATATCATAGTTTATTGCCGTTGAAAAGGATAGTCACGTGATTTCTTATTTGAAAAGGGATTATTGATTTTTAACCGGCACATTTTTTCCAGCCAAAATTAACGAGTTTAATCATTATGTAAATGTTTATGTTTACATATGCCCTTTTACACTGAGAAAGCGTATCTGATAGATAAGAAATGGATCCATATAAAAAAAGTATGAAAAATTTCGTGGATATAGGTACATTTTTAAAAAATATAGGAATTATCTGCATAATATTTGATTGGAAGTGATTAGTAACAGAGGAAAGTATTGGACTAACATCTAGGATTTGGACAATAAACATTTATTGGAAAAAATGTGTTTGCATTTTATTTGATTTTGAAGCGTATTTAATCACTATATATATATATATATATATATATATATATATATTATTTCTCCATGATCTATCCCAAACTTTAAGAGTGTGTTTAGCTTATAAGTTACTAGTTTTTATTTTAAAAAAAAACAACTTTATTCTCATTATTTTATTTGAACTTTAAATAACTAAATATGTTTTTTTTTGTTATTTTATGTTTATCAGCAATTGTATGAGCTAATCTTATTCAATGCATTCAATTCAATTACATAGTTTATAAGTTTTTATATTTTCAGTTAGTTTATATTTTATAAGCTTCAATTAGTCTATAAACTTTTAGATATTTTATAAGTTAATTTTATCAAATATGCATTAAACATTTAAACCTACACATCTCGGAAGGTTTTTTTTTTTAATATTTGCATAACTCGCTTAACTCAACTCATTTTCACTATTTTGTTGGTAAATAAATTTCGTAAAAGAGATGGGAGCTAGTACTTTGGATGTATTCCAAATTTGTAGGTTGTCTTCCCGTTAATTAAAGATCTTTATTTTTTTATTTTTGTATTTTTTAAATAGCCGTTGAAAGAGGAAAAATGTCTTTTAAAATTAAGATGTTAGAAGTATGTTTGAATTTCTCTATATAGAACAAAAAGTTTTTGTAAACTTTGAGAAAAATTTAAAATTCATTTTTAAGTTAAATGAAATTGATTTATGTATATTTTGGAGAATATTATTTCTAGTTTTCTATATAAGAAACAAATGAGTATTTTCTTGGTCCTAATTATAAAAAATTTGGTACCATTCTTAACTTAATTGTTAATTTTATTTTATACTCTTGATTAATTGTTAAGCATTTTAATGAGATATCTACTCATTATCTAATAGTGGATGATGATGCATTTATTTGGCAATTAACAGCACAAATCATTTTTATTTATTGGTTACATCAACTAGAGCTTTCTACTTTTGGTTCTATTAGCATTTTCCCAAGTATAAAGGTGAAAGTCACAGTGTGGTTTTCTTAATTAAGAGAGACTAAACCAGTGGTTTTTCTTTATTAAGCCCTCACTTAGCGGTTACATTAGGCGTGGAAGCCAACACGTTTGCTGCATACCTGTGTCTCATCATTCCTGATAACCCCAAATACTTTTTACTCTTTTTAAATTCTTTCCAAAAACACTGTCCTTCCCGATGAAAGTAACATTTGCATTGGCCACATTCAAGTGTCCATCCATTGCAGCGTTCACCACAGGCTTCACACTCACTGTTCTGCTCAGTTTTCTCAACCAAAGCAAGAGGGTGTGAGTGAAAATCGTATTTGAATCTCCCTCCGAACTTGACACGCCTACACTTGCCAACAACACAATAAGGATGAGCAGCATTGTCACAGTCATCACAGTAATAAAACCAACTTTTGGAAGACATTTTCTCATTGCAAATGCAACATTCATACTCCCTCAAATCCCCTTCCACAAAATAGTTTAGACTTAGTGGATGCTTGTCATTCACGTGCCACGCCTTACACGGAAGACCAGCACATCCACTATCAATAGCAAAATCCTCACAAACATCACACACGTACACATGTTTCGACCAAACATGACAACCTTTGCATTGCCTTGCAACTCTTGTCTTCTTAAGGAACAACGCATGAACGTGACTTTCATGTTCAACTTTCTCTTGTAGGGAACCACAACAAACATCAAGGTCGAATTGACACTCTTCGCAACGATACACAAAACCATTGCTCAGTGTTCTGCATCCATCGCACCTATAAATGCCATCATAAGGAGGTGCCTTGGCGAGAAGAGTTAGAGGGTGCTCATGAAACGGGTGTTGCCTCGTTCTAAGTAATCCAACACAACTTTGGTGCACATAGAAGCCACAATTTTCTTCTTGGCACGAAAAGAAACGTGGCGTGATGGGTTGGGTACACCCATCACATAGTTTATCAGAATATAACTGATTACCATGTTCCTCCACGAGCTTCAACGAATGTTCATGGCCAAAGAAACTAAAAGTCCAATCAATATCTTGGGTTTCCTCAGTTTCATAGCCTCTCAATGATTCCTCATCCTCTGTATCAGTCTCCCACTCTTCTCTTAAGTACTGTTCTGGACACTTCAAATGCACAGAAAATTTGCATTTTGAACAAAAGTAACCGGCAACAAACGGATTCATTGCCCCATTACAAGCATCACAAGTTATGCCACCCCAGTTACTCAAGCTATAAAAGTGATGACGGCCATAGGAGAGCTTCAAACGGTGGTCATGGCCATTTATTCTAATAGCAAGAGGCAATTCAGCACAGTAAGAATGAACCCAAATCTGACAAATGGAGCATAAGCAAGCGGGGCCACTGTTTGCATGCATGCCACATGCATAGCAAACAAACGAGTTTGGATTTGTCAAGAGCGTGAAGGCATGCCTATGGCCATCATCGGGGTGCCAGCGAGAAGCACATGTCACGTCAAGGTCATAGTCGCAAAGAAAACAATGGTATACGAAGTTCTTGAAGAGTCCTCTACATGAATCACATGCGTAGTGTTGCTTATAAGGGGTGGTGGAAAGGAGAATGAGGGGGTGCTGAGGGTGAAATGGGTGCTTCAAGAGGCGCTCTAGTTCTGCGCATGTTTTGTGAAGGACGAAATCGCATTGGTCGCAGGAGAAGTTAGGACCTGAAATTGGTTTTTCACAGCCTGAGCAAACGACTTGTTTCTTGTCCTTTTTCAGCTCCTCTTTGAACGTTAGAGGGTGGATATGGCTGAAATGCTCAATCTGCTCCATGTTTTCTTGCTCTTTCGAAATTAATTAAGGGTGATTTTCTGTTTTTGAGCATTCAAATATGATTTTTGGGTATTTGTATATACTGTTGATTAGGGATGAAGTCTAATGTAAAGTAAACTTTGCTGCATGGTTAAGACATCAAAGATGGAAATCCTTATTCTTGCTTAAACAAATAGAATACACAAGGAATTTCAATTTCCTATTAAAGGGAGTTAAAAAAGCTTTTAGTTTGGCCACCAACCTAGGATTGTACATTCCATAACATATATTGGAAAGGACCACATGCCAATCGCAATACTGAGCCATAATTTTGGAGTGGTAGGTAAGAATGGGTCAAGTTGATACCCAAGTTCAAAAAGAAAAGAATTTTAAGTTGCTTTCAAGATATTTCAATCAAATTCCTTGTCATATATAGAAGTAGGATGAAGTTTTAGATTGAGAAAAAAAGTGAGATCAATTTTTTTGGTTTTCCAATACGAGATCAAAATACCCCCACAAATTTTAATTTTTGGTCTGAGTGAGAGACTAATTCTTGATTCGAAGTTACTCTTCGAATATTAATGGGTCAAAAAAATGTTTGTTAAATAACAAAACACAAATATAACGGAGTAACTTAAAAAACTAATTTCACAAATGCTTCTTTTATATCACGAAAACAAATATTTTGAGGCAAAAATTTGTTGTAAAAATAAGTGGATTTTAGATAAGATCGAATCAACAAAGATGTTTTTTTATTTAAAAAATTATATTGATATCGTTACCAATAAATAAATAAATTATATTGATATAATTAAACTAACAATAGATATAATTAAACTAACAATACATATGAATTATCTAATACTTTCTCATAATTGTTCAATTTTAATAAAATTTAAAAAATATATTTAAGATAATATTAAGTTAAAATTCAATAGTTTGATCACTAAAATTTAACTTTACTGAAAGGGATTTGATAGGTAAAATTTTTTTCACATCAAAGAATTATAATTCCTGAGATTATAAATTGTTATAACCTTAATTCCTAGAAATGATTAAATTCGTTTGATTACTTATAAAAATTCTTAAAAATATAAAGATTCTTTAATTTGATTATAATATTACTTTTTTTTGGTATATAAATAGGTTTTAAAAAAAATATTCTTTATTAAAATAACCTTATTAAAATATTATATTTTACTTAAAATAACAAATCAACAATTTCCATATGATTAACTCAAAGTGTGAATATGGTTTTAATGACGTATCATAGTAGGGAAAAAAAAAGTTAAATTGACCAAAAAAAAAACAATTAAAATTTAAAAATAAGTAAACTAGAAAATAAAAAAAAACATATAATGCAATTTTATTTAAATAATTTTTAAATTTAAAATATAAAAATTGTATTAAGAAATTAGTAAGGCAGTTTTATAAATTTTAAATAATTATAAAAATAACATATATTATTAAAATAATATAATTATTTTATTTTTATTATTAGGTTAAGGAGAAAAGTGATAAAAAATAGTAATTCTTACCTGATACACATTCAAATATTTTGTAAAAAAACAATAAAATAATTTGTTAAAAGTTTATACACAAAATTTTAAACTAATTTTATTTTTTCCTTAAAAATAATATAATTAAAAGTGATAAAAAAAATAAATAAAGGGATAAAAAATACAAATAAAAGGATAAAAAATAATATGCCTAATAAATTATTTAATTTAATTTATATTTTAATTATTTAATAAAATTAATGTGTTTTCATGCTTTTATGTTTGTTGATAATTATCAAATATATATAATTTTTATTCAATTTTGACAATTATTAATATATCTTATGCTTCTAAATCTTATTTTTTGTCATAAAATATTTAGTCAATAGTTAATTTTATTTTATGATTTAATTATTTAAATATTAGATATTTTTAATATTTTTATTTCTTGAAAAATAATACAGAGAAAAAATAATTTGGAAGCTACAAGTCTTGAAAGAAAACTATTGCTCCAAGTCTTAAAAGGAAATTATTACTCCAAGTTACATAGAAGACTTATTCTAAACAAGTGAAATTTGCTCATAACAACCAATAGCTTGTTCTATGTGAGTCAAGTCAGAGAACAATTCTGGAAGATTATACCAACTCACTCAAAACAAGCCAAAATTGTTCAAAACTACCACAAGAACACTTTGAATGAGTGAAGTCAAAGTGCACTCCTGAAAGCACTAACAAACCTACATTATAATGAGGGTGGAGAAATGCACCCCTCACTTTAATTAAATTATTTGTATATGTTTAATAATATTTCATTTTTTACTCTCTAATTTTATATATTGAACACATTAATGATTATTTTTTATATTTATTATGTTTATATATATATATATATATATATTAATTATTA